CCCCCCCCCCCCTTTCCCCAACAAAAAAAATTGATGGAAAAACAACACATCAGAACAATAACAAGAAAAAAAGTTACACACTAACAAAATAAAACACTTTGCTGTACGTATTCAACAAATCAACGTGGTGACAACAAGTGAGAAAGAGACTAAGTGAAGCTAAGGGAACTTTCTTTCAAAAGTAAAGAGGTTCGGTTTCTTTCTTCTTTTTTTTTTTATTTGACTTTTATTCCCCGACCAAAAAATGCCAAAAAATCGAGACACGATTGATTGGTCGCGGCAGCGACAAACGCTGAAGCTAGTTCTATGTGTCGTTATCAATAACCCTCCGTAGATCTAGATCTAGACAGCACACGAGTGAACACAACACATTAAGTTTAAGAGCAGCACCCTTCAAAGGCAACACGTCATATCTGTAGCCAAAAACTGTTTGGAACTGTAGTATTTTTTTATATAAATATTTACTGCGGACATTTTTTAGACCGATTGAACCATATTGTATACAAACAATCTTTGGTAGGTCTATACTCTATATATAATATCCGAAATTTGGGGGAAAGGATGTGATTTCAGAGTGTTCGGAGAAATAGTGCCCAGCTTTATTTTCCCGAACGTTCGGAGAAATAGTGCCTAGCTTTATTTTCCCGAACGTTCATAGAAATAGTGCCCAGCTTTATTTTCCCGAACGTTCGGAGAAATAGTGCCGGCCTTAATTCAATCTAGCATGCCGTACAATTAAAAATTCTTTTTCCCCGTTGAGACGCGAACACCCCGAGACGAGATAACCTCGCCTCGGAATACCCCCATTGCGATGTTACAGGGGAGTAGAGAGAAAAACAACCGGATGCGCACGCCCGCCATTGCCCTATTTCAAGTGACCAATGAACGGGCCCGGAATAGTCATGCGGGGATTTGTAGGTCACATACATTTGCCACGAGAGTGAGGGGAAAATGGCCGGTCTCCATGCGAAGCCGCTTTGGATAGGGGGGTAGTCGTGCATTTATGATCGGGTCTAAACAACTACTTGACACAGAACGTTAAAATTTGAGCACACTTTAGAGGATAGATAGATCTATTACCATCTCGGCGTTGAAATTCAAACTCCTTATAGTTTTCGGTGTACACGATACGAAAGTGTTCCCGACACCAAAAGTATAGGTTAATTTATGTGTACGAACTTCAACGTCCACATATCAATAGTTTGCCCTATTTTCTGATTGGTTGCCGAGTTTCATTCGGATTGGTTCGGAAATAGAGCAGACCGAGGTTGGCAAAGTTAGTCACCTACGCTTCAGCCGGGTCCGCAAAATCGCCCGTAAACGGGGACCAAATTTTCGCCTCGCGGGAAAGCCCGATTGGCATTGCTACACAAAGCCAATGGTTCCTAAGCAAAATTTCAATGAACACAATTAGTGCTGAGTTGAAGTTTTGGGTGGTATCTGTGATGGCCGTCGTTATTCGGACTCGAGTCCGAATAACATTGTCCGAATATGAAAAAATGTTATTCGGACTCGAGTCCGAATATGAAAAAATGTTATTCGGACTCGGGTCCGGAAAAAAGGAAGTGTCTTCGTTCTATAGTTCTAACGTTCAGTGCTTCCAATTTTCCGCCATTGTTTAGTCCCCCCCCCCCCCACACACACACACCTTTTCTGCCGATCCGATGCCCGCCGCCTCATTGATACGCCCCCCACCCCCCATGTTTCCCACTTTCTTTGTTGTAGAAAAAGGTGAAATTGAAGATTAGTCCATAGACCAGCGCACAATTCATTACGTAGATCTACGTCAAGACTAGCTTATTATTGTAATAATGATCAGTTGCCGGGGGGGGGGGAGACTGACGCGTATGCGACGTTCAACGCCCGGACCGATAGTGCCCCCCCACCCCCCTCCCCGACACGCACACTGCCACACGTGTGCAGGCCGCCCATCCGACCCCGACACACGCTAACGAGGCATCTTTAATTGCTTCTGATGACCTCTTGACAAATAAACATTTATTAGAAGCGCTATAACTTTTCAGGCCGGCCTCAAATTCATCGTAAGATTAAAACTCGGCTCCTGCACAAAACACCTTTTTGCCTGAAGTGATCCCGGTCTCTACCCAGCCTGAGGCGAGTCACGAGTGAGGCAGGACAGGAAGCCGGAGTCACGAGTCACAGGAAGTTGGAAGTGATGTCATGCTGGACAAGAATCAGAGTCCGAATAACATTTTTTCATATTCGGACTCGAGTCCGAATAATCACTTCGATCTGTGATTGCTCTGTTTTCCATTATGTTTGAAACTATCGTGACAAAATATTG